ATAGGAGAGGAGGGCCAGACCCAGCAGGAGTCCAGGGCCTTAGAGACCAGGTCACACTAAAAATAGCAGGAACCGGTGACCCCCCTGGGGTGGGGATTGTGGTAGGAGGGAAAAGATCTTTTTTATAAAGTTGAAAGCCTTGCACAACGACTTGACTTCTAAAACTATCTACATGTATGGCTTTGATAAAAATAAAAAATAAGAAATTTTAAAACACTGACATACGAAAAGAAAAATATAGAAACCAACGGAAAAATTTAACAGATGGTATTTGTCAGCATGTAGTGGGAGTTACGCTTTCCTTTAGCAGATGGATGGACATTCTTATAACCAAAACTGCATGACTTCTCAGTTATCACGAGGATTTCAAACAAAAAACTAACATTCATCGATTTAAAATTTAATTTATGAGATGCCCCTGGGAGGTAAAGAATATTTTGTTCATGTAATTTGTCAAGTGAAATGGCAAAGCGGCAATGGTAGATTTAGCAATCTTCAGAAAAACGGAAGCAGGAGGAAAAGGTTTTGATAGTATTTTTTTCCTTTGAGACGGACTCTTCGCTCTGTCGCCCATGCTGGAGTGCAGTGGTGCGATCCTGGCTCACTGCAACCTCCGCATCCCGGGTTCAAGCGATTTGCTTGCCTCAGCCTCCCGAGTAGCTGGGACTACAGGCCACCCAGCTAATTTTTTATTTTTAGTAGGGATAGGGTTTCACCACGTTGGCCAGGCTGGTCTGAAACCCCTGACCTCAGGTGATCCTCCTGCCTTGGCCTCCCACAGTGCTGGATTACAGGCGTGAGCCACCGCCCTTGGCCAATAGTGTTGTGTTTTAAAAATAATCATACTGTTGGGTAGATATTTGAAAAAAGTGCAATTTCAGGAATACAAAGGGTAGTGAAGAGATATAGAAGCTAAAGTGTTGGCTTCCTATGAAGAAGCCTCAGAGATGAAAATCTCCCGTAGGCTCCAGGTTCCAAATATGCATATGTTCCTTCACAGAGATTGACTGTAAGAGACTCAGATCTACTTACCTCTGTAAAAACAAACATATGGCATGCGGCTTCATCTTGCCGTAGGAGCAGGAGAATGAAAAGCCAGAGCACCCAGGAGGAAAATATTCCTCCTAAGTAGATTCCACAACCACGCTAAACACAAACCTTCTCCCTGATTGCTTTGTGTACTCCAAAAACCGTCCTAGTGTTAAACTTTCAAGGTTAATTTCTTTTTTTGAGACAGTCTTGCTGTGTCGTCCAGGCTGAGGGCAGTGGCGCCGTCTCAGCTCACTGCAACCTCCGCCTCCTGGGTTCAAGCAATTCTCCTGCCTCAGCCTCCAGAGTAGCTAGGACTACAGGTGCGTGCCAACACACCTGGCTAATTTTTAGTATTTTTAGTAGAGATGGGGTTTCACTGTGTTACCCCAGATGGTCTTGATCTCCTGACCTCGTGATCTGCCCGCCTCGGTGTCCCAAAGTGCTGGCTGGGATTATAGGCGTGAGACGCCGCGCCGGCCGGTTAATTTCTGATCACCCAATTATGAAGCCAGATATTTTAAATCTGCATCCCATCTCCACTCCCCAACAGTGTCCTCCGTTTCTAAGTTGCATTCTTTTTCACTAACAAAAGGAGAAACAATGGGGCATAGACGTGGTTTGTTGTTTAAAATATCAAGAATTGTTTCCCAGCAGGCCAGACTTTACGGCAGGCACAGAAAAGGACCTATTACAGCTCCCGAAGGCTGCAGCCCGGCAGGCAAGAGCGCTTGAAACGTCCCAGGTGCCAGCAATAACAAACAGAGAATGGGCAGGGGTGGGCGTTTCCTGTCTGCTTTACCACCACCATCAACCTATTATGATAATTTATTCTGGAAACCAGATTTATACAGGAAACTCAGCAAGCAAATACGGTTATTCCTCTCGCAATGGGAAAGCTAAACTAATTTTCTTATTTTTGATTGTCATTAGTGAGAAATGAAGGCCATTAAAATTACTTACCTATTTATTCAGGCATTGCCTCCTAAAATGTTCTCAGCTCTTCATATGGGCAAAAATGATCATGCATGAATTTTCATTATTACAAATTTACAAATTCATTAACGATCCCACTCTCAATCAGACACTTGCTCCTCTCCTCATGTTGTCCAATGTTGCTTTACTTAATTGATCTTCAGGAATAATGCAAAAATCAGTGATAAAAGTCCTTAGCCCTTCGATTTTCTTTTCTTTACTTTTTTTTTTTTTTGAGACAGAGTCTCGCTCTGTTGTCCAGGCTGGAGTGCAGTGGCACAATTTCGGCTCACTGCAACCTCAACCTCCTGGGTTCAAGCGATTCTTTTGCCTCAGCCTCCTGAGTAGCTGGGACTTCAGGCATGAGCTACTATGCCCAGCTAATTTTTGCATTTTTAGTAGAGACGAGGTTTCACCATATTGGCCAGGCTGGTCTCGAACTCCTGACCTCATGATCCGCCCACCTCAGCCTCCCAAAGTGCTGGATTACAGGTGTGAGCCACTGTGCCCAGCCATCCTTAGCACTTTGAAAGGCACATTTAGTGCCTCTAAAAGTTAACAGTCTTCATATGAAAGTTGTTCCATCTTTCGGATGCTCTGATCAGTGGCTGTCACACTTTTTTCATGACTCATTTTAATAAATTTTACTTGGTGACTCAGTATCCATATATGCACACCCCAAACTAGTTTTCACAGGGAAAAAAAAACCAAACCACTCTAACAACAGGTAGTGCATGCTGGTATTTTCTGTTCGGTTCTATTCTCTCCCATTCCATTAAAAAACACTAGTAAAGACCCCTGATTAATTTCCTCACTAAAGCAACACAAATCTGAAAATCACTCTAGGTTACATATTACTTATATTTGTCACATTAACTGAAAATACTGAAATTTTGAATCCTAGATGGCCAATCCCTCTTGTTCTGTTTTCACTCTGGAATATTCAAAGGTAAAAATGTGCAAACACTAATCTCTATTGTTACTACATAGCATGACTTTTATATTTATTATTTATTTTTGAGACAGGGTCTCACTCTGTCACCCAGGCTGGAGTGCAATGGCGTGATCTCAGTTCACCGCAACCTCTGCCTCCCGGGTTCGAGCGATTCTTGTGCCTCAGCCTCCCGAGTAGCTGGGATTACAGGTGCCTGCCACCATGCACAGCTTATTTTTTTTGTACTTTTAGTAGAGACAGGATTTTGCTATATTGGCCAGGCTGGTCTTGAACTCCTGGCCTCAAATGATCTGCCCACCTCGGCCTCCCAAAGTGCTGTGATTACAGGAGTGAGCCAATGTGCTCTGCCAAACTTATTTTTAAAGCAATCACAGATAGCCTTCCGGAAACGTTGGCCAAATCCTCAAAACTGCTCTCTTCTGCATATCTGGAGTCCTAGTTACTCAGGAGCCTAGGTGCTGGGGAGGCTGCAATGAGTTATGATTGTGCCACTGCACTCCAGCCTGGGTGACAGAGCAAGACCCTATCTCTTTCCAAAAAAAAAAAAAAAAAAAAACCTTCAAAAAAATTCCACTACCTAGGGTTAGGCGTATCTATAGTACCAAGCAGGGCTTGGTGAAAGCTTCAATCATGCCAACAAATAAAAAAGTTGTAGCCTGTGAAGAAATGATGTGGAATTATTCTAATGCTGCAGTCAAAAAGAGAAAACCCAAAATGCTGGCCTAGTACCAGTTTCATTCCACAGGATATTTATCCATAGCGGATTTGTCAAGGTTCACTGAAAGTGTGTCATCTTTAACTTCAATTATTTTTTCATTTCATAAAGTTCTCTTTGGTTTTCAAATCTGTTTGATAATTTTCTTGTTCTCTATTCAGTTTCTTATTTATTGAAAACACACTTAGAGTCTGTATGGTATCACTATCTCCGTGTGGCTCCTATGCCCCTACGGTTGTTTTGGCAGGCTCTCATGCCTTGCTTTCATGTATTGTCATTTTTGACTTTGAGGGCACAATCCATAAACTTTTTTTTTTTTTTTTTTTTTTTGGGGGAAAAAACCCAAAATTTTTTTTTTTTTTTTTTTTTTGAGATGGAGTTTCGCTCCTGTTACCCAGACTGGAGTGCAATGGCGCGATCTCGGCTCACCGCAACCTCCGCCTCCTGGGTTCAGGCAATTCTCCTGCCTCAGCCTCCTGAGTAGCTGGGATTACAGGCACGCGCCACCATGCCCAGCTGATTTTTTGTAGTTTTAGTAGAGACGGGGTTTCACCATGTTGACCAGGATGGTCTCGATCTCTTGACCTCGTGATCCACCCGCCTCGGCCTCTCAAAGTGCTGGGATTACAGGCGTGAGCCACCGCGCCCGGCCTCCATAAACTCTTTATAGGGCACTCATTGGCGGTCTGGGTTGAAGTTGAGTTCTGAAAAAACAGAACAGGTGTGTGTTTATTTCTCAGTTACCTAGAGCCCTTACCAATTTGGTACTACTTTCAACTAAAATATTGGCTTGAGGGTTTTTATCTGTTTTAAAATCATACACGGAGGAGGAATTTAGGCTGAAATCCAAGTGTGAGGTAACTTGGGGGCACAAACTGTGTGTGTGTGTGTGTGTGTGTGTGTGTGTGTGTGTATCCACTTGTTTATGTATATGCTTATATTTTACTTTTCCATCCAGAACCACAGTTCAAGACAGAAAATTTCTTTGGGGCTCCCACTGGGGATTGGGCATCAGTTTCATAGATGTTTCAGGGGTATAACTCCCTAACCGGGGCTGATCCTAGCCATCATCTCTTGTCTTCTGGGCCCTTGAAACTGTGAAAACTAAAGCTGTCCTTAACCTCTACGTTCCAACTTCCACTGAATTTTTTAGACTCTGGGCATTTCTTATCTTCTGTGAGCTCATTTGAAAAACATTTTTTAATCCAACATTTTGAATAGTTTCTAGGAGGAGGGTTACATCTTACACCATAAGGCTATGCAGATTTATAAAATCAACAATTCTCTCTGAAGTGATTTGAAATAAAACGTGCAGAAAAATCACCATGTATAATTCAGACTTTATTGCTTACGAATTGTGATGCTCCACAAAATTTAAGTAGACAGACATTGAGAAAATATACTGGGCGTGTTAAACGGATGACGGCAATATTGATGAGACTGTTCAAGTGTTTCACATAAGGAAATAAGAGGCACCACCGTCACCACCACCCCTAGAAATTTGTACATTTCATATAAAAAGAGTAAAAATAGTTCATTGGCATGTAACTAGCATCATTCTCTGTAATCTATGAGCCATAATAAGCCTGAACAATTTCAGAATCCTCAGAGCAAAACCAAGTATTTTATTCCACTAGCAGATGTTTCTTCAAAAACAAAAAAACAAACCAATACAACAGACACTACCCACATACAACCCTGAAACAAAAGTTGGCGAATTCCAGTTGCCCTGAATTTTATCATGTTTTGCTCTATATTAATTCAAGAAATAAAATGTGATTCGGCTTTTGAAAATGAGATTAACTTCTTCGCTGTAATTATACTTACTCTATAATTCAAACTATTTAGCTGAAGTCAGTTAACCAGTAAAAACCACGGATACAACAAACTGCTCTTAACTTCTTTAAACGAGTATTATTCTATAAAAACTCAGACCCAAGCACAGGTGTAACTTGAGAAGCTAACAATCTCCCTACCACATATAACAGTAGTTTTATGTATTCTTAAAGCTGGGCACATATACAAAATCACTGTACAACACACACAAACATCAGAAACTTTTCTTGGTACAACTAGACCAATAGTTTCCTCTATTTTTTTTTTTTTTTAAATCAAGCACGTATAACAGTTGAGCATTTAAAAGACTCCCACGTATATGATTAAAAAGATGCTCAGGTTGCAAAATACATTTGAGTACTTGAAAAGACACTCCAAAAAGAAAAAAGACTTGAAATGTAGTTTTATGTTGAACCATTTAGGAGACCCCAGTTATCCAACAACTAAAAGCACACAACAGCAGATAAATAGGATTTTATTAAAATCAATGTCTCCAACAATACAAAAATTAAATATTAAGGCATCTTTTACTCCCATCCTGGTATATGCAAAAGAGAATGTTTTAAGTGAGAGCCAGCATTTCTTATTACAATGCTTTCTAGTGTATTTGGCAGATTTGTTTTCATATTCTCCTATTCCACATATCATTCAAAGCACTCATGATCAAACATCTTGATCCAAATCAAAAGTGTAAATAGATATTAATTTATTCAAGGGAAGCAGTTCACCTTTCAAAAATTAAAAGAAACTGCAAAGAATATCATGAATAAAGTTCAAATACCAGCATTTGAATTTCTCTGAAGCAATTTATGGTTCAGTAATTAAGCAAAAGAAGAAATGAAGACTTTATGTAAGATGAGAAGACTATTAATATGGATTGCACTATGGAGTAATTATTCATTTAGTACTCTGCTCCACTGGGGTGATGGTTTGAAAAAGGCTTCATACTCCTTTAAGAAAATATCACATCCACCAGGATAAGAGCATATAAATTAACACTGATTCTTATTACCCATGCCTGTCCATTTACAAAGCTCAAGAGGCTTCATAAAGTACACTAAACAGTAACATTTTCACCTTTTATTAAGGCAAGTTTGTGAAAATAATTTAATATAACCAGATCTCTTCATGAACTTTCAACTTACAACATTTTTAATGTAAGAAACATACAAAAATTTGTGTTTTATAAAAAGCCACCTCAATACCAGAAAATAGCAATGGAAGATTTTGAACCCAGTTTACTTTTTAAAGAATGCTCTTTCTTCGTCTCAAATTCCAAGTGCTACTCATCATCCTTAGAGCCAGTTTTGCTTAACTATAAAAAAAAAAACAAAAAACAGAAAATAGTCAACAAGTTTAAGCAGTATTTTCTGAGTTCATTATTTCCATGGAGTATCAAAATTAAATAAACTATAGGCAACAAGTTACAAGTAACTTAAATCACCTATAGCTTTTATCACACTTTTCAACTTCTAGCTCAGCTAATTCAAGCAGTTTTCAAAACACAACCTTGACAAAAATCTAAACTCAACAGAACAAGGGTGGCAGGTGTGTGGGTGAGTGGGACTCTTGAAGCTTCTTAGGAAATAAACTGGAAACAAGAATATACAAACAGAAGGTACCATTTATAAAACGAATGACATTCTTCTAGTTCTTGTTTTCTATCATACATTCTTTTAACATTTTTAAAAAAATAATTTTAAATTGTGGTCAAATAAAAATAATAAGTAATATAAGATTTACCATCTTAACCAGACAACACATTCTTATAGTTTTGAAAACATGATAAGAGTCTTATTTTTGTGTTGCAATTTTTTTCTGAGAAAAATCTTTGGTAGGGGTTGGCAAATTTGGGGTAAGAGGGGCAGATAAAATAGCAAGGCGATTCTGATTAGACTAGTGCCCCATGAGAAAGATTACTGTACCCAACAACTCCAGGGACTCCAGAGAGTGTGGGAAGCCATGAAAAGCAGAAGCTACTAAAGGTGCTGGTTCTCAAATATTTTGGCCCAAGGACCTCTTCACACTCTTAAAAATTTTAAACTTTTTGTAGAGAGGGATTCGCACCAAGTTTCCCAGCTGGCCTTGAACTCCTGGGCTCAAGCAATCCTCCCGCTTAAGCCTCCCAAAGTGCTGGGATTACAGGTGTGAGCCACCATGTCCCACCAAATCTCTTTATTATCTATTTCAGTGGAAGATGGCTGGCTTCTCACAAATATGCTTCAACAGTAAATCAGGTATAATGGAAGACAGCTAACAGCAGCACAGCAGAAGTACTAAGAACACAGTAGAAGTACTTACAACGATCTGGGTTAATACACACATCCTCAACCTATTAACTGAGAAAATTCTGGCAAACACAAGAATATACAAGCACACATTCTCTTAGTGCTTTAAGAGTATTAGTGATGGCATCATCAAATGTCATGCATCCTCTGGAAACACCAGAAAAGATTCATAAGAAAATGGGTTAAGGCTGGGAATGGTGGCTTGAGCTGGTAATCCCAGCATTTTGGGAGGCTGAGGCAGGTGGATCACTTGAGGTCAGGAGTTTGAGACCAGCCTGGCCAACATGGTGAAACACTGTCTCTACTCAAAATGCAAAAATTAGCTGGGTGTGGTGGCGGGCGCCTGTAATCCCAGCTACTTGGGAGGTTGAGGCAGGAGAATTGCTTGAACCTGGGAGGCGGAGGTTGCAGTCAGCCAAGATTGGACCATTGCACTCCAGCCTGGGCAACAGAGTGAGACTGTGTCTCAAAAAAAAAAAAAAAAAGGGTTAAAAGGGCACACATCATGTTAGCATTATTATGTAAATAGTTTTGATCTTGCATACTCCCTAAGAGAGTCTCAGGGACCTCCCAGGGGTCCAAAGCCCACAGTTGGAAACCACTAGCTTAGCATAATAGATTCAGAGACCAAATTATGTCTAGGTAGTAACCTCCTTAAAAAATATCTTCTTTCAGGCTGGGCACGGTGGCTCATGCCTGTAATCCCAGCAGTTTAGGAGGTCAAGGCAGGTGGATTAACTGAGGTCAGGAGTTCAAGACCAGCCTGGCCAACATGGTGAAACCCCATCTCCACTAAAAAATACAAAAAGTAGCAGGTGTGGTGGCAAGCACCTGTAATTCCAGCTGCTTGGGAGGCTGAGGCAAGAGAATCATTTGAACATGGGAGGCAGAGGTTGCGGTGAGCTGAGATCGCTCGCGCCCCTGCATTCCAGCCTGGGCAACAAGAGGAAAATTCTGTCTCAAAAAAAAAAAAAAAAAAAAAAGAACTCTTTCACCTCCCAAGATTACTGGATAATTTGAATTTTACTCTTTGTTACAAATTGTAATTCCATTTATATTAACAAGGACTGAAAAATAAAAGCTTCTGGAGCTAGGGAAGGAGGAGCACTATCAACATCTTTAGAACAGATTCTTTTTCTTCTCACTTTCAGCTTAGAGCTGCACTGAGAGAGGCAACATTTTGACTAAGAAAATTGTTCATTCTGGCCAGGCATGGAGGCTCACAACTGTAATCCCAACACTTCAGGAGGCCGAGGTGGGCGGATCACCTGAAGTCGGGAGTTCAAGACCAGCCTGATCAACATGGAGAAACCCTGTCTCTACTTAAAATACAAAATTAGCTGGGCATGGTGGCGCATGCCTGTAATCCCAGCTACTCTAGAGGCTACGGCAGGAGAATCGCCTGAACCCAGGAAGCAGAGGTTGCAGTGAGCCAAGATGGCACCATTGCACTCCAGCCTGGGCAACAAGACTAAAACTCCATCTCCAAAAAAAAAAAAAAAAAGCAAATTGTTCATTCTGGAGCATAGCACACTTGGAGGAAAGAATGGATTTAGCTGGTTAGGCTATATATTAGTACACGTAGGACAACATGAAGTATCCATCAAGCATCGGTGGAGAAGGGCCTGGGAAAATGAGAGAATGCCAGAGAGGCTTCACTCATACAAGCATCTTATATAGGGGAGGAAGAAATAGTGTGTTTCTTCCAATTGTCCCTTAAGGCCCCATTCCCAGGAAATGTTTTTGTACCAGTTACTAGAAGCACAAAGATTATTTTGAAGCTTCAATAGAAAATGCATTCCATGGACCAAACAGCTGGCTTTAAAATAAAGTTTAAGAAAATGGCCAGGGCTGGACATGGTGGCTATCACCTGTAATACAAATAATTTGAGAGTCAGAGGCAGGGGCATCACTTGAGGCCAGGAGTTTGAGACCAGCCTGGTCTACATGGTGAAACCCTATCTCTATTAAAAATACAAAAATTAGCCTGGTGTGGTGGCATGAGCCTATAGTCCCAGCTACTTGGGAGGCTGAGGCACAAGAACTGCTTGAACTCAGGAGGGGAAGGTACAGTGAGCTGAGATCATGTCACTGCACTCCAGCCTGGGTGACAGAGCAAGATTTGGTTTCAAAACAAAAAAAGAAAATAGCTATGAGCAGTGGCTCATGCCTGTAATCCCAGCACTTTGGGAGGCCACGGTGGAAGGATCACTTGAGCCCAGGAGTATGGGACCAGCAGTGTGGGCAACAAAGGGAGACCCTGTCTCTAGCAAAAATTAACAAAATAGGCCGAGTACAGTGGCTCACACCTATAATCCCAGCACTTTGGGAGGCCGAGGTGGGCAGATCACTTGAGGTCAGGAGTTTGAGACCAGCCTGGCCAGTATGGTGAAACCCCGTTTCTCCTAAAATACAAAAACATTAGCCAGATGTGGTGGCACATGCCTGTAATCCCAGCTACTCGGGAGGCTGAGGCAGGAGAATTCCTTGAACTCAAGGTGGAGGCTGCAGTGAGCTGAGATTGCACCACTGCGCTCCAGCCTGAGCAACAAAGTGAGACTGCGTCTCAAAAACAAACAAGCAAAAACTTAGAGGGGTGTGGTGGTACATGCCTGCGGCCCCTGCTGCATGGGAGGCTGAGGTGAGAGGATCGCATTTCCGGGAAGGTCACAGCTGCAGTGAGCCACGTCCACGCCACTGCACTCTAGCTTGGGCGACAGAGCCAGACCTTGTCTTCAAAAACAACAACAACAACAATAACAACAGAAAACCCAAAACAAAAAGCAAAAAGGTTTAAGAATCCACTGCTTGGACGTTCCCTGTGTCTGCGGGTCCTCACTAAAACCCTAATCTTTAACTACCCTTGCATCACATTAAATGCTTCTCACAGGAGGTGTGGCATGAACTGGAATGCAAAATTTATTTCATTAAGTCCTACAAAAAGAATTCATTTACTGTGTTAAATAGTAGTTTAACGTATTTGAAACTACAGCTAATATAAGAACAATTTGAGACATGTAGGCAGAAAAATTCAAAATGAAAGCAACAATTTTAAACGAAAACAGAAAATTGTTCTTGGTATGATGAACAACTACATTTAAGATCTGTCCTTAACAAAACCCACAAAAACTGGGGCCAGGTGTGGTGGCTGATGCCTGTAATCCCAGCACTTTGTGAGGCTGAGGTGGGAGAATCACCTGAGCCCAGGAGGTCGAGACAGGCCTGGCCAACATATCTGTCTCTACATATAATAAGAAAATTAGTCGGGCATGGTGGCGCATGCCTTTGATCCCAGCTAGTCAGGAGGCTGAGGATCACCTAAGCCTGGGAGGTCGAGGCTGCAGTGAGCCGCTGTGATCATGCCACCAGCTAGCCTGGGTGACAGGGCAAGATCCTGTCTCAAAAACAAAAAACAAAAAAGTAATTTCTAATAAATTAAAACACTCTTTTCCATGTCTGGTTTTCTTCAGTTTCCATATATTGTTGATAACTTAGAGTCTTATTTAAGCATCTGCATTCTTCATTTTTTTTTTTCTTCTTTCCCATCAGGTAAAGAACCAGTTTTTATTTTTTTAGGTGGAGGCTCATTCTGTCACCCAGGCTGGAGTGCAGTGGCACGATCTTGGCTCACTGCAACCTCTGCCTCCTGGGTTCAGGCGATTCTCATGCCTTAGCCTCCTGAGTAGCTGGGACTACAGGCTCATGCCACCACGCCCAGCTGATTTTTGTATTTTTAGTAGAGTCAGGGTTTCACCATGTTGGCCAGGCTGGTCTTGAACTTGTGATCTCAGGTGATCCAACCACCTTGGCCTCCCAAAGTGCTGGGATTACAGGCATGAGCCACCACGCCCTATGCATCTGCATTCTTTTTTTTTTTTTTTTTATTTTGACAGAGTCTCGCTCTTTCGCCAGGCTGGAGTGCAGTGGCACGATCTTGGCTCACTGCAACCTCTGTCTCCCGGATTCAAGCTATTCCCCTGCCTCGGCATCCTGAGTAGCTTGGGACTACAGGCGCACACCACCACACCTGGCTAATTTTTTGTATTTTAGTAGAGACAGGGTTTCACCATGGCCAGGATGGTCTCGATATCCTGGCCTCATGATGCGCCCGCCTCGGCCTCCCAAAGTGCTGGGATTACAGCAGTGAGCCACCGCGCCCGGCCGCATCTGCATTCTTAAGATGTACTTACAGAGTCATACTATATTGTAGTTATAACTTACTTCTGTAAATTTTTCATTTTAAAAAAAGAATATCTAAAATTGAGAGTAGGGAAGAGAAGAATGTGAGAGGTTTTTCAACAATACTTACATGCTGAATGTGAAAAAGGAAACAGACATCCCAGTAAATTCCAAAGGTTGTGAAGAGGGAAACAAAACATAGGAATTTCATTATTTGCTGGTAACAATTATAACAAGCTTAAAGACTAGAATATAAATGTTATATACCTTCACAACATCAACCCAGTTCCAGCCTCGAGGAAGTTCTCCTTTGTGATCTAGAAGATTAAAAAATAGTAACTTTATTTCTAAGACCAACCAGCTAGTTTTAAATTAATATTCTATAATATTCTAAATAAGATTTTTACACTATCATACACAACAAATAGATCAAAAATTTAAATACATATTACTAAGTTGGAAAAACAGTTTATCATTATGAATCAATACTGTTCTCCGGGAATACTGGCAAAATATTTTAGGTATATTCCTTTTTTACATTTACGATATTGCTATCCAAGACAAAATCTGAAAGCAAGGAAGAAAATACGGAGATGGGTTGGCAATGCCAGAAGAGCAGTTAATCCATTTATTAGTTTCATGCATTTGCATGAAGCTTCTGCTTTATCTAAGGTCATTGCTTATTCAAGAAAGAACTTGCACTGTTCTGTTTAATAAATTAGCATTTCACATCCAGAAGCCAGGCTCAAGACAGGAAGACCAACAAGCATATGTCTGGCTTGGCTTCAAGACTAAGAGGAAGGCTGGCTAACTTATGTATTAGTTGCTATGCTCTGATAAAATATTCATTATTTAATCTAACATTCTTTAAAAAGGGCTTTAATCTGTTGGGATTGCTTGGAAATTAGCTTATAATAGTTTACAAAGTGCTTTTATTCTTTCAACAGAATATTCAAAGAATAGCTTACCAAATACTATCTACAAATTCTTCAATTTAAAAATGGCCTGATTTCCTTTATGCTTAATGTATGCCATAGATGTCTCAACTTTATGAAACCTTCAAAACTTGAAACACTCAAAACAAGTACATTATATGAATTTTCCAGCTAGGGAAAAAGAAATTAACCCACGATACTTATATGAGAGAAGCAATATTACTGGAGCTCAATTTTAGATGATACTGGTTCTTTTCTCCTTCATGCCAAGAAGAATCATATCCCACTGGTTACCGGTTAAAAGGAGCACATCATCATATGCCATGGCTGTCCCATTAAAGTTTTATTTAGAAAGAAAGCTCCAAGTCACAAACTCCTATACTGTCATTATAGGAAGGTAATGGCTTTAGGGGAACATCATCAAACAGATAAAGGTAGGGAGATAGTAATGAAATGGAAATGAGTGATCGTAGGTCATCGTGCATGAAAGCAATAGTACCTAACTGATAGAGATGCTACAACGTTCAAAGAGAGAGAAACCAAATTCTAGACAACAGAAAGTAATGGCTAACAATTTACTGCTTCGGTTGTTTTTATCCTTTAATGGTGCTCTGACATTAGGTATAATGAATTCCTAGATTTTTTTTTTTTTCATAAACCATTACCATTTGAAAAATGTATTTTGGGGACAAACACAGAGCTGCTATTTGCCACAGACAGACATTAAACAAAACACAAACCAAAAAAACTGCCATTCCATTACAAAAGAAAGGGCATTTAAAAGGCCCTCACCAAAATAAAAGAGTTGGTTCTTCTCAGTAAAGAGACACTTTTTTGAAACGCTTTTTTTTTTTTTTTGAGACGGAGTTTCACTCATGTTACCCAGGCTGGAGTGCAATGGCGCAATCTCGGCGCACCGCAACCTCCGCCTCCTAGGTTCAGGCAATTCTCCTGCCTCAGCCTCCTGAGTAGCTGGGATTACAGGCACGCACCACCATGCCCAGCTAATTTTTTGTATTTTTAGTAGAGATGGGGTTTCACCATGTTGACCAGGATGGTCTCGATCTCTTGACCTCATGATCCACCCGCCTTGGCCTCCCAAAATGCTGGGATTACAGGCTTGAGCCACCGCGCCCGGCCAAGAGACACTTTTTAACCTTATACTAGTAGCACACATAGATACGTAAGTACAAATGCGCAAGTGCACAAGTGACAATGTCCTCATTTCCCCTAACTGTGAAAAAGTTTACAGACTATTATCAATTTGCAAGTTTCAGGTTAAATAATGAAAAGTAATCAGATATCATTGTTGACATGAGCTGGAGTTTATAATCTCTAAAGGACTTTTGTTTCTTATTTAGGACACAAAACAAGAGAATTCTATTCTTTTTTTTGATACACAGTCTCCCTGTGCCACCAGGCTGGAGAGCAGTGCAGTGGCGCGATCTCAGCTCACTGCAACTTGTGCCTCCTGGGATCAAGCAATTCTCCGCCTCAGCCTCCCGAGTAGCTGGGATTACAGGCGTCCATCACTATGCCCAGCTAATTTTTTGTATTTTTAGTAGACATGGGGTTTCATCATGTTGGCCAGGCTGGTCTCGAACTCCTGACCTTGTGATTCACCCACCTTGGCCTCCTAAAGTGCTGGGATTACAGGCATGTTACCGCGCCCAGCCGAGAATTCTATTCTTAAATCTCATTGTTGTATAAATAAGTTAACCATAGGCAAAAATGTTAAATTACTTATCACACTAAGATCTAATAGTATACCAGTATTCATTTCAAATGAAAGCTATATTTCAAAAAATTTTTTAGTAACACACACCTCCCAAAGAGGTAAACAAATAAAATCCCAATCATGTCGGAGCTCCAGGTAAAACACGTTTTTGTAGGCTATTTGAATGTTCCTCAATCTCTAAACTCATTTATAGTTACTTGGCCCCTCAGTTACTTTCTTTTCAAATGGTGATCTCCTGTGATGAAGTCGTAGTAAGTATTTTCTTATTTTTTTGAGACAGAGTTTTGCTGTTGTTGCCTAGGCTAAAGTGCAGTGGCATGATTTCGGCTTGCTACAAATGCTGCCTCCTGGGTTCAAGCGATTCTCCTGTCTCAGCCTCAGTCTTAGTATGTTGAAAATATACACGTGACCCAAAAGATCTCTGACCCAAATGTTTCAAGAATAAAAAGTACAGAATTAATCTAAATATATTCACCATATCACACTAAAAAGCATCCATTTATCTGAGTTATAAAAGAAAAAAAAAAGGTCAGGTGTGGTGGCTCACGCCTATAATCCCAACACTTTGGGAGGCCGAGGTAGGCAGATCACCTGAGATCGGGAGTTCGAGACCTGCCTGGCCAACATGGTGAAACCCCATATCTACTAGAAATATAAAAATTAGCCAGGTGTAATTGCATGCATCTGTAATCCCAGCTACTTGGGAGGTTAAGGCAGGAGAATCTCTTGAACCTGGGAGGTGGAAGCTGCAGTTAGCTATCATGCCACTGCACCCCAGCCTGGGCAATAGAGCGAGACTCTGTCTAAAAAAAAGAAAAAATAGAAAAAAGAAAGAAAAAAACACACAAACCTGTTTTATCTGCCAGCTTACGCTTCTGGGCTTTTGAAAGTTGTTCTTTCTTGTCTTTTTTCTTACTTGATGGGGCTGTATTAGGAGTTTCAATTGAGATGATATTGCTTATCGTTGTCTAAAAAAAAGAAATAATTCTCAGCCTCATGCCTTACAACCTGTTACAGGAAATACAGCTACATCCTGAAATGGGTTGATAATTTATACACTTACGAATAAAAGAATCCTATATTATTATGATTCATTTTTCAAATCAACTGCCCTGAACACATTATTGGTTTCACTCTTTTAAAAGTGCACATCAAAGGACATAATATTAGTTCAATTGTTATAACCAAAATCCTGGGAAGGAAGATCTGATTATCAGCGTTATGTTGAAGATCTGAGGTTCCAAGGTAGTTTTACAATTCAGTTAACTCGCTATTATTTGGAAATTTAATTAAAATCTTTCTTTTCTTTACAGAGGTGTTTTTCAGTGTGAATGTTTGGCAATTTACACATGTCTTCAGAAAAATCACATGTACCTCCCTAGAACATCCTGGTTCCCGGAAGAAAAATTTTAAGACATTTGGGTTAATGCAGTCAGGGTATATGACAACTAAAATTTAAAATGCTTTCTAGGTCTGAGCATTGCTGCAAATGTTTTCCACATACCACACATCTGATCCTCACCATGATCTTAGGAGGTAGAGGCTATATAAGCCATTTTACAGATGAAGAACTGAGTATGGAGAGATTGAGGAACTTGCTCAGAGTCACAGAGTTGGTAAGTGGTGCAGTGATGTGACCAGGCGGTCCGGCCCAGAGTCCATGATCTTAGCTACCACCCTCTACTGCTCCTCCAGTTGCCTCTCAGGGTTCTGTGTCCTGCTGGGAATGTGAAAGCCAAAACCACTCTAACTGAAGACAAGCCTTGCTGCCAAACGCTTCCCATTTGGTTCACAAGACAAAACTAAATTAATGAACCAATGAAGGTCTTTCAGTGCATGACGTGGTACAAAGGGGTCTCGTACACAGATGCTTAAGGTCAGGAAAGAAATATTTCCTAAAACCATTCAGGAAATAACAGTACAACATTTTTTCTATTCAATAAAGCCTCCCTCCACATGCTGCAACATCTGCAAACTGAACTGTGGCAAGTCTATTTACAACAAGACAAGCCTCATGGAGAAAGCAATTCCCTACTACTTTAGCATTGCATCCCTAAGATCCCTTAGCTGTCTCAGCTTTATGAAGAGATGAGGCAAATATTAAAAATACTAGGTTCTATGATATCTCAGTTTTGGTAGGCATGAGACGTATTCTAGTCTTTGATAAAGGGTAAAAATCTAGAGACTATAATATCATTTTCTAGGTTAAATAGAAGAAATGTGAAATTCGTTGTTCTTATTTAACTCAGGTGTAACTCTCATTTTAACAAAAGCCTTCTTACAATTTTGAATATATATTAACTAGTACAAATGAATTACTACAGAGCAAAACCAAAACAACAAAAGAATCCGGCAAAAAAAAAAAAAAAATCACATACTCACTGTGGAATTGATGGGATTGTGGTTCTCCATGAATTGGTCTTTATTGTCTTTGGCATATTCAAACAACGTATAGGTCATAGCGGTTCCCAGGTTAGCTGCTACTGCTTCCTGTAGTTTGGCTAATATACTCTGCTTTACAGCTGATGATCTACAGTGCACAACAAAAATACCTTGCTGAGAGGGAAATGAGAAGCAGTAAAAACAAAACACTACTCACATGTTGTTGTTAAAAAAAGCGTTCATAGATATAATTGGAGGTGTTTGGGGATATGTTTCTGTCCAGGAAATCTCTATTAAGAAGGCTTTGGGATCACCATTTTCACCTATCTGAAGAGAAGGGGAAATCTTAGGCTTGTAAAAAGTGATAAAAAGACAGAAAACCAAATTATAATCTTCAGAAGGGTAAGTTCTTTCCAATATTCATGCTCAGATCAGAAATGTAACATTTTGAAAAGTCTAGGGGTACAGGCTAGGACTGAGCAGGAATGAAGGGAGTCTCAGGACAGTCTGACTTTAATTTAGTCCTATTATGTCTTAATAGGTTCAGTATGCCCACATCTTGTCCCTAACCAGCCTACCAGCTTTTCTAGTACCACGCCTACATCTTAGGTATTTTTTAGTGTTTTCACCAGTTTTCTGAGGATTAAAATAAAACATCAACTTGCTCATGGGATATAGAAAGAGAACAGACAAAAATAATTCACAAACTCGACATACCTCATCTTTGTCTTAAGTTACACGACTGCTAAATCCCAAGAGGCACAACCCCAAGAGATCAGAAAATGAAATATAAAACTGAGAAGGAAGGCAAAGGCAAAGGCTAAGGGAAAGGAATGCCTTCAGATGAATAACAATTTCTGAATAAAGACATCTTTTCTTTTTTGTTCTGCCAACTTTTTATTTATTTATTTATTTATTTAGAGACGGAGTTTCACTCTTGTTACCCAGGCTGGAGTGCAATGGCGCAATCTCGGCTCGGCGCAATCTCGGCTCACCGCAACCTCCGCCTCCTGAGTTCAGGCAATTCTCCTGCCTCAGCCTCCTGGGTAGCTGGGATTATAGGCATGTGCCACCATGCCCAGCTGATTTTTTGTATTTTTAGTAGAGACGGGGTTTCACCATGTTGACCAGGATGGTCTCGATCTCTTGACCTCGTGATCCACCCGCCTCGGCCTTCCAAAGTACTGGGATTACAGGCGTGAGCCACCGCGCCCGGCCTCCAACTTTTTATTTAAATAATTTTAATCGTAAAGAAAAACTGAAACAGTATAATGAACACTCACTGACATTCATCTTATTCACCAAACACTTCCTGCAGCATTTACTTTATCTTACCCCCTTTCCGCACAGAATCAACCTCCACTCTCCCAACAGGGTTTTTCCCCTTTGGTTTTTGCTGAAACACTTAAAAGTAATGAACTTTCCTCAATGTTTCAGTTAAGAATCTTAAGAAAAGGATAGTCTTCATAACCACAAGATCATTATCACACCCAAGAAATTCAACATTGGTACAAAAATACTACCTAATAGATAAACCATATTAAAAACTACCCTATCATATCTAAAGTATCCTTTAAAAGACTTGACCCCAACCCACAAATCCATAATCCATTGAGGGGTCATGGATGGCACTGGGTTGTTATGCCTCTTTATTCTGCTTTAATTTAGAACAGTCCCCAGCCCTCTCCCCTGCATTTTTTTTTTTTAGACAGGGTCTCACTCTATCGCCCAGGCTAGGGTGCAGTGGCACAATCACGGCTCACTGCAACCTGGACCTACTGGGCTTAAGAAATCCTTCCACCTTGGGCTGGGTGCAGTGGCTCATGCCTGTAATCCCAGCACTTTAGGAGGCCAAGGTGGGTGGATCACTTAAGGTCAGAAGTTCAAGACCAGCTTGGCCAACATGGTGAAACTCCGTCTCTACTAAAAAATACAAAAATTAGCTGGGTGTTGTGGTACGCACCTAGGAAGGCTGAGGCAGGAGAATCACTTGAACCCAGGAGGCAGAGGTTGCAGTGAGTTGAGATCGTGCCACCACACTCCAGCCTGGGTGACAGAGCAAGACTCTGGCAAAAGTAAAAAAATAAAATAAAAAAAGAAATCCTCCCACCTCAGCCACTACAGTAGCTGGAACTACAGGTGTGTACCCCATGCCAGGATAATTTCAAAAAATCTTCTGCAGAGACAAGGTCTCCCTATGTTGTCCAGGCTGGTCTCGAACTCCTGAGCTCATGTGATCTTCCTGCCTCAACCTCCCAAAGTGCTGGGATTACAGGCGTGAGCCACTGCCAGCCTTCCCCTGTCTTTTAAGCCACCAAAAAGAATACAGGCTAATTTTCTTATATTATGTCCCCAGATCTGAACTGATTGTTTTCTCTGTTCAGATTCAAATTAAACATTTTTGGTAAGGAAACTACAGAGGTGATGCGGCATCTTCCCATAGTATCACTTAAGGAGGCACACAAGATCTTCCAGAATCATCATTGGTGACACTAAGATTGACCACATGGTTAAGGTGATCTCCAGATCTCTTCCACATAAACATTTTCACTTTGTAATTAACGAATAATCTTGCTGGGTGAGGTGGCTCATGTCTGTAATCCCAGCTCTTTGGGAGGCCAACACTGGTGAATCACTTGAGGCCAGGAATTGGAGACCAGCCTGGGCAACATAGCAAGACCCTGTCTCTATAAAAAAATCATCATCATCTGTGGGGTAACACAACAAAACTGCATGAATATCTTGTTTCTAGACCACCTTTCACCAAAAGGCTAAAACCCTTGAGTGAACAGTGCTTAAATGAATCAATTATCATACTGGTGGTTGCAAAATGGTGATTTTCTAGAATGATTCATGAATCAACATCTCATCCTTGCAAAGGGTTATGCTAATCTCCTCTTTATTATTATTATTTAAAATTTTTATTTATTTTGAGACAGGGTTTTCTCTCTTGTCACCCAGGCTGGAGTGCAGTGGCGTGATCTCGGCTCACTGCAATCTCCACCTCCCGGGTTCAAGTGATTCTCCTGCCTCAGTCTCCCAAGTAGCCGGGATTACAGATGCCCACCACCACACCCAGCTAATTTTCTGTATTTTTGTAGAGACGGGATTTTACCATGTTGGCCAGGCTGGTCTCGACCTCCTGACCTCAGGTGATCCATCCGCCTCGGCCTCCCAAAGTGCTGAAATTACAGGCGTGAGCCACCATACCCAGCCTATATTTTTTGCTTTTTAAGAATAGAGACGGGGTCCCACTATGTTGGTCAGGCTGGTCTTGAACTCCTGAGCTCAAATGATCCTCCTGCCTTGGCCTCTCAAAGTGCTAGGATTACAGGTGTGAGCCACCATGCCCAGCCTTGTCTGTATTATTTTTAATATATATGCTGCTTGTAAAAATACTTATTCTTAAACAACAGCAGTAAGATTTACAAAATTTTCACCCCAAATTATTACCTAATTTACCTTTATTTTCTGACCTCTAATTTTTCACCCCTACCCCTTCACCCTCAACCACACTCTTACAAATATAAGGCCAGGCTCAGAAATAAGACCAAATAAATGTAGGGATCCGCTGAAATACCTTGATAAGGATTACTTGCGATAACAGATGTCATAGGCTTTGTTTATGTTTCAAATATAGGTAGTTAAAAAGTGATAAAAGTTACCCACTTAGGCAATCACTGCGTCCTTACTCACGGTGCATTTAGGAATAAATTATCACATGCCTCACCCTGTGCTGGGTACTGAAGATGCAAAGATAGAGGCAAGGCCATTCTTATCTTCAAGACATTTATGTAACTTATAAAACTGCAGTATGAATGACAGTTCAAGGGTAACAGAACAAAGTATGAAGAAATGGCGAATAGTTAATTCTGATTCAAAGTTGGGGCAGAAACAGGAGACGTGGCCCAGATATTACCATGTCCCAGAGGAGGCTTGAGTTAGGCCTTAAAGGAGAAGCGGAGAGATAACAGACATGAGGTGAGGGAAGGATCAAACAATGTGCTCAAAAGCATAGTACCAGATGCAAACACATAGGGGAAAATGTAACAGCCCATTACGTCTAAGGGATGTGAGTGGAGGGGAAAGTTTGGAGAGACAGAAACAAACAGGAGGATTTAGAGTGTCCAGTGAAAAACTTTAGTCCTCACTTAATAGGCAAGAGGAATCCATGGAGAAGCCTTTTTAAACAAGAGAATGGGATGACGACTTAAATGTTTCAGAAAGCCAACTAGCACTGCTGGAGGACTAATGGTGGCATACAAGGGCTAAAGACTGTACTTAACCAGGGAAGTCAACCAGGAGGCTACCAGACCATTCCGTGCAAGAACTGGGGTCAGACTTAGGACACGGGCAGAACTTTACGCCAGACCCTCTGCCTCCTCATCTCATGTCTCATTCTTCTTAAATCCATCCTATGAGTCACGTCAGTGTCCATCTTACAATACATAAAAATGTCCTTGAGCATTCTGCATACCGTGCTCTAAATCATTGCCACTGTGAATAGAGACATTTAGGAAAGTATAGGGAAATTCTCAGCCTCCCATTTGCTAAGGAGAGAGTAGCAACTGGATTCAAATAGAAGGGCCTAGGACTTAGCTCCACTGTTGACTTTGGGCATTTGAGGTCCCCTCGTTATTATATACTTGGAGGTGGTGGAAAGACTGTTAAGCTTGAAAGTGAATTCAGACAAGAAGCTTATTTTCTGTGATGGTTATGCATCAATCATGCATAAGGAACATTTCTCATACAGTTTAGTTTTAACTGTGACAATGTTAATAATAACTGTAAATCTTTTACAAAAAAAACTTTCCCATTCTGTTACTTCTAATTATTTGTGTTTTTTTTTTTTCTTTTTTCCTTTTTTTTTTTGAGAGGGAGTCTTACCCTGTAGCCCAGGCTGGAGTGCAGTGGCGCCATCTCGGCTCACTGCAATCTCCGCCCCCAAGTTCAAATGATTCTCCTGCCTCAGCCTCCCACGTAGCTGGGATTACAGGTGTGTACCACATGCCTGGCTCATTTTTGTATTTTTAATAGAGACAGGGTTTCACCATGGTAGCCAGGCCGGTCATGAACTCCCGACCTCAGGTGATCTGCCCGCCTCAGCCTCTCAAAGTTCTGAGATTATAGGTGTGGGCCACCGTGCCCGGGCTACTTATGATCATTTGAATAAAAGGTTTATATGACTTATTTACAAAATAAAATACGGTTACTATTTTATGTTAAAGATAGGATTACATAATTTTTAAGGTTTTTTTCCATTTCTAATGTCTTATGATTCTGGTACAATAAAAACAAGTTTATCCTGGTTTTTTTTTTTTTTTTTTTGAGATGGACTCTCGCTCTGATGCTCAGGCTGGAGGGCAGTGGCACAATCTCTGCTCACTGCAACCTGTGTCCCTCAGGCTCAAGCAATTCTCCTGCCTCAGCCTCCCTAGTAGCCAGGACTACAGGCTCGCAACATCACACCCAGCTAATTTTTGTATTTTTAGTAGAAACAGAGTTTTTGTCAGGCTGGTCTTGAACTCTTGACTTTGTGATCCACCCACCTTGGCCTCCCAAAGTGCTGGGATTATAGGTGTGAGCCACCACACCCAGCCCTATCCTGGTTTTTAAAAAGTTTCTGGGCCAGGCGCGGTGGCTCAAGCCTGTAATCCCAGCACTTTGGGAGGCCGAGGTGGGTGGATCATGAGGTCAAGAGATCGAGACCATCCTGGTCAACATGGTGAAACCCCGTCTCTACTAAAAATACAAAAAATTAGCTGGGCATGGTGGCGCGTGCCTGTAATCCCAGCTACTCAGGAGGCTGAGGCAGGAGAATTGCCTGAACCCAGGAGGCGGAGGTTGCGGTGAGCCGAGATTGCGCCATTGCACTCCAGCCTGGGTAACATGAGTGAAACTCCGTCTCAAAAAAAAAAAAAAAAAAAAAAAAGTTTCTGAATTAAGTTTTCAAACATTAAAAATGACTGATGTGAGGGTGATGTTTCCATTTAAACGCTATAGAAAATACTGACATAATAAATTCAAACAAGTTTAAAAAACAAAATAAGCATTTTTAGCCACTTTTAGTCTTTTCTAGCAAAGTTGTAAGTGCTCTTATTCATGCCATGTCTTACCCTATATTGAAAAGAAACTGGACTTAATTCCCGGAAACTTTCATCTCCTTCATAAATAGAGCGTAATGCTTCTAGTTCCATCTGAAATAAAGAATTGAATGAGTTTTGTTTAGTGGTACAAATGAATTAGAAATAGAGGGTCTTTACTTTCTCATTCAAACCTACTCAACTATGTAAAACTTGACTAACTTACACAAGCTTAGATACTTACCGTATACATGCATTCAGCACACATGGCAATATTACTACCAATGATACTTTAAAACTCTATGTCAGGCACTGCTAAGATTATGCAATGTATTATTGGACTGACTTCTCAAATCAACCCTGTCAAGAGGTCCTATTATTTTCTACTTCCTACTAGGGAGGCAAGAAGTCTCAGTTTAAGCCACTCCAGAGCAAGTGCTCTTAGCACTCTGCTAAAGAGGAACCTGGGTGTAAAGAGCATTAAACCTGGAGATGAGAACTATAAAAAACAATACTTTCCTATTATTTACATCCACTCCTTTTATTTGTAATCCTTCCCATAGAGTGATACAAAGGTTTAAGAAACATCTAAAGGCAGGAAAAATAACTTTAAGAAAAAGCTTGACAAGTATCTACCCAAGATGAGATCAAGGACTGTCAGAGAAAACGTAACTAGTAATCCTTGCTTGGGCATTGTTCTTAGAACATTTTGGTATTACGACTGAGAAGTTCATCACTGCGATCACTGATGAGTATCTGAGAAAAGAAGAAAGACTGCACTTGGGTCCACGTTTGAATTTTCAAGAACTCTACAAAGTAAAGACGGTGAAAGTGGGCTTGATCTACGGTCAAAATTTTAGAATAGAAATTATTGGCTGCGCGTGCGTGGTGGCTCACGCCTGTAATCCACTGCGCGTGCGTGGTACCTCTTGCCCGTAATCCCAGCACTTTGAGAGGCTGAGGCAGGCGGATCACCTGAGGCTAGGAATTACAGATCAACCTGGTAAACAGGGTGAGACCCCATCTCTACTAAAAATACAAAAATTAGCCAGGCGTGGTGATGCGCACCTGTAATCCCAGCTAAGCGGGAGGGTGAGGCAGGAGAATCGCTTGAACCCCGGAAGCGGAGGTTGCAGTGAGCCGAGATCGCGCCACTGTACTACAGTCTGGGTTACAGAGCGAGACTCCATCTCAACAACAACAACAGCAGCAAAAAGAAATTACTAGAGAAATAGTGTGTGAGGAACTGGGAGAGTAAGGAATAGTCCCCAAGACCTAGGAAGCATATGGAAAACAAGAAATACCCTTCTTAGAAAGGGAAACTTGATTGGCACAATGAAGAAAGGCATAAAATACAGACTATATTGATTTCAGCAAGGCTCCACAAGTTTCCCTTGCTACCTTTACAGAAAAAAAAATACAGAAATTCAAGCTGGATTCAAGAAATAACGAAGATTAGATTGGAACAAATAACCTTACCCAAAATATAGTATTACTCCTTCTGTCCCTAATCCTTTGCTATATTTTAATTAATGATTTAGACAGGAACAAAAATAGAAGGCAAGTTTATTAAATTTGTGGATGATAATTTGTTGGGATAATGAATAATGCTGATGGCAGAATAAGAATCCAAAAAGTCTTTGAAAAGCAAGCTAATGATGAAATTTAGCAGGGTAAGTAGAATTTGTATTAATACTTAGATATCTAAATATAAAAGTTGAGGACGAAAGACAAGGCCAGGCGTGGTGGCTCACGCCTGTAATTCCAGCACTTTGGGAGGTCAAGGCAGGCGGATCACCTGAGGTTGGGAGTTCACGACCAGCCGAGTTCAAGACTAACCAGACCAATATAGAGAAACCCCATCTCTACTAAAAATACAAAAAATTAGCCAGGTGTGGTGGTGTGCGCCTGTAATCCCAGCTACTTGGGAGGCTGAGGCAGAAGAATTGCTTGAACCTGGGAGGCGGAGGTTGCGGTGAGCTGAGATCGTGCCATGGCACTCCAGCTTGGGCAACAGGAGCGAGACTCTGTCTCAAAAAAAAAAAAGAAGATGAAAGACAAACTGCTTTGTGTAAAGCACTTAAAAGGTTTTAGTTGACAGTAAATTTAACTAGACAAAACAGTATGATGCCACAACTCTGAAACAGGGCATTAAAAAAAATCAAATCTGTCCACAGACACGTGATTCCAGGATAGTGAAGAAATTAAAGAATGGATGTATGAAGAAAAGCTGAAAAGAATCATTTCATCTGAGAAGAGGTCTGAAAAACTTGGCAGGAATCTATCTTCAAAGATCAGAACACCAGTCATCTGAAAAAAGAACGAAATTTTCTTGTTACAGTGGAGATTCCTGGGCTCACCACAGACATTTTGATTCAGTAGGTCTGGGGTGGAGTGCGGGCAGCAGTTTTCTGGCAACCATCTAAATGGTTCTAAGGTAGTGGACTCTGAGAAACATTAGACTGTATGTTCTTTGCTTTGCAGGGAGACAAGGCTATTAATGCACTGACTCAGAAATTCACCTGGCAAGAATATTTTAGAAGAGATTCAGGTATCAACTAGCTAGCTTGTTGGACTTTGGGTCCTTTAAAGGTTAACTTCCAATCCAGAGATTGTATTACATTTATCACATAAAAATGATTAAGTTTCAGGGCCGGGCGCTGTGGCTCATGTCGGTAGTCCCAGCACTTTGGATGGCCGAGGTGGGCAGATCACCTGAGGCCAGGAGTTCGAGACCAGCCTGGCCAACATGGTGGAACCTCGTTTCTATTAAAAATACAAAAAATTAGCCGGGCGTGGTAGCACATGCCTGTAAGTCTGTAATACCAGCTACTCGGGAGGCTGAGGCAGGAGAATTACTTGAACTTTGGAGGTTGGCCAAGACCGCGCCACTGTACTCCAGCTTGGGCAACAAGAGCTAAACTCCATCTCAAAGAAAAAAAAGTGAAGCATTATATTCTAAATTAACAGTGAACTACTACTTTTCTACCACCCAATAAAACTTGGTTGCTAGTCCCTACTCTACCACGTACTCACTGTGTGGCCCTGGGCTACTACTTTACCTTTGTGGACTTCTCCTCATCTACCCACCTATCAAAGTTAGAAGGTTCCCCTACAGATGGTCTGTGGCACCGGCCCAACTCTAATGGTACATGATTCAATGTCAAAATGGCAACTCACAAGGAAATATCTGGGCATGAAACATAAATTCAAGTGGTACATGAATGCTTAAAACAGACAGATGGGTAAAAGATTTCAGCAAACAATATGGACAGAAACCAGAGGCACGACTAGCGTCACTTTCTTCCATCAGAAATGTAACCAACTCAGCTCTCCACTAGCCAAGAGATTAAAAGGTGACCAGACTAAAATTTAAAGGTGATCAGCAAAACTCAGTAAACAGGCACTAAATACATGGGATTCAAGGAGAGCCAAGAGCACTGGGTCGTGCACCAAGGACGCTCATCCCTGTTATTAAGGAAACTGGGGAGACTCCCGGGTTTGCAAAAATGAAAAATGAGGGTGGAACAGAGGCAGAGGCGGACTCCTGCCCATTCACACGCGCTTGGATGAGACGCCAGTGAACTCGGGGCACCCACGCCGGGCCGCTAGTCCGGGCATCAGGTCTCACCAGGGCCCGGGGCTCCGCGCCGCGCCCGCGCCGGGAGAGGGCCCTGAGCCGGGGGTGGGTGGGGAGCTCACCTCCTGGTCCTCGTTGGCACTCATCGCGCCGGTCGCGGGGCGCCTCCTGAGCGGAAGGCGTCCGCAACAACGAAGAGAAAGCGAGGGCAGCGGCCCCGAGGCCCGGCGTCCGCCTCTGGCGCCTCGGCTGCGTCGGCAGCACAGCCTTGGCACTGGCAGACGCCAATCGGGCGCGCCCTGGGCCTCGGCAGCGCCCGGGCGCCGGCGGTGAGCTGTGGGCTCGGAACCCGAGCCGCGGCAGGTGGGGCCTGGGAAGTGCAGCGTCTTCCCGACGCCTGGAGGAGGAGCGCGTAAAATTCCGGGACAGCGATTGGTGCAGAGCGCTGTCACTCAGGCCCAGAAAGTGCTTCCTGTGCCGGCGGAGGTGGGTACAGGGAAGTCCAGCCTGCTGGAGCTGGCCGCGGGGCTGCGGCGGTGGGGACGGGCCTCGGCCTTGTGACAGCTTCCCGCCTCCCCTCGTCCTGTCCCTGCTGGCGGCGACCGGCCTCAGCTGCAGCGGGCCCGGGGCGTGGGGCCTTGGTGAGTCTGGGCCCGGAGACCCGCGGGGCCAGGCGGGACCGCCGAGGAAGAGAGCTAGCTCTTAACAATGCTGGTTTGGGGGCCTGCGTTTTGCTATTGCATCGACGGGTGCAATCCTGGCGCTTCTCTTTCAGACCCAAGGAAAGACGCACCCGTTTCTAGGACCTCCCAGGCTTAACACAGGGGAATAAGAGGAGGAAGATACCTGCCTTTAGGGACTGCAAGGTTATTTCTCTACCTTTCCTCCTTGGAACTACCAGAGCAGGTACTGCCACTACGGGGACGGTGCTTTTCCTAGGTTGGGTTGTTACTTCTCATCTTTAACATCGAAACACCTTGTTTTGTAGTTGGACGTCTCTGAATCCCATTCTTAGTAGCCTTGTGTCCTGCACGCTGAACTTCCAGTTCATTTAAAAAAAAAAAAAAAAATAGCACCCACTTTAGGTTAGGGGCTTTCTTTAGCTGCCACTTTGGTTGGGTCACGTTTCTTTCCACGCTAGTTGCCAGTTGATGTCCCTTGCCCTACTTCATCTCCCATCCATTATTCACTTTGTATAGCTGCCTTTCCTTTCTTGTGTCGTTTCGTTGATTGCTCCATTGGCTTCTTCCAGGATACCTGAAATTTCTCCTTCCAGGCTGTCATTGAGATCCATTCAGTCTGCGCCTGTGCAGTATCGGTGTTCTTGTTCTCATTCCTTTGCTGCAGAATTAAGCACGACCGTTTCAAGTGCCACAGGAGAACGTAGCAAGGATTTCCAATACAATTTTCATGCAGTCATTTTGGGACAGATTTTCCATAATTTAGATCTCTGCTGTCCAGTTCTGTAGCCAGCAGCTGCATCAAGCATTTGAAAAAGGCTAATTTGAATTGAGATGTGCTGTGAGCATAAAATACACACCAGATATTGAAGAGCTAGTATAAAAGAAGGTAAAATATGTCACTGATAACTTTTATATTAGTGTCAGTATGATAATATTTTGGATATACTGTACTGGGTTAACTAGAATATTAAAATGAATTCCACTTTTTACTTTTTAATATGACTGCTAGAAAATTTTAATTTATTTATGTGGCTCATAGATCCATTGTATGACACAGTCATTTATAGTTCCTCTTATTTCAACTCCATATTCAAAGACCACAGCTAATGTCTTTTGGGCCTCTGGAGTTATTACAGGAAATGGCCCCTAGTCTAAGACTCTTTCATATTAAGCAAAGGTACCTGTGTTGCATTTTGGTCACCTCTTTTTTTATTCGTTGAGTTGGAGTCTTGCTCTGACGCCCAGGCTGTAGTGCAGTGGCGCCATCTCGGCTCACTGCAACCTCCGCCTCCGAGGTTCAAGGGATTCTCCTGCCTCAGCCTCCCAGGTAGCTGGGACTGCAAGTGCGTACCACCATGCCCTGCTAATTTTTGTATTTTTAGTAGAAATGGGGTTTCACTTATTGATCAGGCTGATCTTGAACTCCTGACCTCCTGATCTGCTTGCCTCAGCCTCCCAAAGTGCTGGGATAACAGGTGTGAACCACTGAGCCTGGTATGGTCACCTCTTTTTAATTTTCACTCCCAAATGACCATAACTAGACTGTTTCTTTCTCTGAACATGCAATCCTTTGTCCTCATAACTTAATCCTGTCCTAAAAATATTTAAACACTTCTAAAACTATCCATTGTAGACATTTCTGGCAAGCTTTGTAAATCGTTTATTCAATACCTATTGTTCTTTCAGTATTTAAACATGAGAAACCTAATAGTCTTTCCTAAATTAACCTTTCAGTTAAAAATATTCCATGTTTTGGAATCAAGTATTAGCCTAAGTGTGTCTCACTTTTCACAAAGATTATATTCGACTTCTCTATAATATAACGGTGTAGATCACCTTTTAAAAGAGCCTGATGACATACTCTTTTTCAAATAAGATTATATTAAAAATATAGTGATAATTTTGTTTGGAATAACTTTTTTTGTGTGTGTGCGACATAATCTTGCTCTGTCACCCAGGCTGGAGTGCAATGGCACAATCATAGTTCACTGTAATTTTAAACACCTAGACTCAAATGACCCTCCCATCTCAGCCTCCCAAGTGGCTGGGACTACAAGTGCACACCACCATGCCCAGCTGTTTTCTTTTTTATTTCTTTTAGAGACAGGATCTCACTATGTCGCCCAGGCTGGTTTCCAACTCCTGGCCTCAACAATCCTCTGGCACCTCATCCTCCCAAAGTGCTGGGATTATAGGCATGAGCCACTTGTGCCTGACCTGGATTCTCTGTAATGTACTGGTGTAGATTGCCTTTTAAAAGAACCTCGTTACAGACTGGGTGCGATGGCTCACGCCTGTAATCCCAGCACTTTGGAGGCTGAGGCGGGCAGATCATGAGGTCAAGAGATGGAGACCATCCTGGCCAACATGGTGAAACGCTTTCTCTACTTAAAATACAAAAATTAGCTGGGCATGGTGGCGTGTGCCTGTAATCCCAGCTACTCGGGAGGCTGAGGCAGGAGAATTGCTTGAACCCAGGAGGCGAAGGTTGCAGTCAGCCAAGATTGTGCCACTGCACTCCAGCCTGGCACCTGGTGACAGAGTGAGACTCTGTCTCAAAAAAAAAAAGAACCTTATTACATCCTTTTTCAAATAAGATTATATTAGAAGTATAATGGCAATCTTGTTTGGGATAGACATAGTTTTATATACTTGCTTTTATAAAGTCAGAGCATACTTTAGGTTTATTACGGACTGATTCTTAGCTAAAGAATGCAGTGGAAACATACCATCTGAGAGGTTTCCATTCATTGCTAGTTTTTCCCTTACAGATTTTCCTTTAAATAGTAAATTTTATATTGTAGGAAATGAGACAACATAGCTACTATTTAGATAATGAAATAAATTAAAGCCTATTATTTTAATAATATCCTATGTTTCAGAAATTCAGTATTGGCAATTACAGAGAAATTAGGGGAAGTTTCATTATATGTAAGTCAATTTTTTTCTTTTATATTTTTCTTTCAATATATTTTTCTTTTACAGTTGAAATAGATCATGTAGATCTGTTTTAATTTAATCATCCTCCTGTTTTCTTGGTCTGCTAATTTCAAAGTTCTGTGTACATTTTGAGACATAACTGAAAATACTGATTTGTCTTAAAGTTGACTTCAACATTTTTAACATTAAAGTTTTTTTTAAATGTCATATAGTTACTACGTTTTAATAGGTCCAGTTCAGGAATTAGAGTTTTCCCTGGCCTGGCATGGTGGCTCACGCCTGTAATCCTAGCACTTTGGGAGGCCGAGGTGGGCGGATCACGGGGTCAGGAGATCAAAACCATTCTGGCCAATAAGGTGAAACCCGGTCTCTACTAAAAATACAAAAAAATTAGTCGGGCACGGTGGCGCACGCCTGTAGTCCCAGCTACTCAAGAGGTAGAGGCAGGGGAATCGTTTGAACTCAGGCGGTGGACGATGCTGTGAGCCGAGATCGTGCCACTGCACTACAGCCTGGGGACAGCAAGACTCTGTCTCAAAAAAAAAAAAAAAAGTTTTCCCTTTTTCTCTGTTCTGTCTGTTTCACAATTTGCAGATACTCAAAGCCTTTTTATAATGATGATTTTATTTTTTTTTTTGAGATAGAGGCTCACTCTGTTGCCTAGACTGGAGTGTAGTGGCATGATCTCGGCTCACTGCAGCCTCCGCCTCCTGGGTTCAAGTGATTCTCATGTCTCAGCCCCAGAGTAGCTGGGGTTACAGGCATGTGCCGCCACGCCCAGCTAATTTTTTTGTATTTTTAGTCAAGATGAGGTTTTATTTGTTGGCTAGGCTGGTCTTGAACTCCTGGCCTCCAGTGATCCACCTGCCTCAGCCTTCCAAAGTGTTGCGATTACACACATGAGCCACCATACCCGGTTTTGTAATGATTTTTTTTTTTTGGTAATGATTTTTAAATGGAGACTCATACATTAGAAATGAAGATTAGTTTTAAAAAGTGAATTATGAGTGTATTAACGTTTGTATTTCAGGTTTTTTGTGACATCGTAAACATGAGCCCCACACAGTGGGACTTCCCTGTGGAATTATGTTGCCGGCCTATGGCCTTTGTTACTCTGACGGGCCTGGATGTAGTTTTTAATGCAGTCCATCGAGCTGTCTGGGATGCCTTCTGTGCCAATCGGAGAGCTGATCGGGTACCAATTTCTTTCAAGGTGCTCCCAGGTGATCATGAGTATCCCAAATGTAGACCCAAGGTAATGGCATCATGATGGGATATGTTCTTTCCGTCTCTGTGTGTGTATGAATGTGTGTGTCTTTTTTGTTCTGTTGTATGTGCTGAGTTTATCAAGACAGTGGTTACAGTGGTGCATAAAGAAAGCCTTAGGCATTTTCATGTAATACACTGCATATATGTTTAATAATAGTTATTTTTTTTTAACTCCAGAGGAATAATAACTTTATAAAGCTTTGTATCTTATGAGCCTAGGTTTCCCCTTTTTTGTTTGTAGGGAAAAACCTCAAGTCTCCATATTTTTAACATAGTCCACACTCTAAAAGGAAGGTCTTGCATTCCGCACCATCATTACTAATGTCATTGTAGAATCCCATGGTCTGTGCAATTTGGTTCAATTTCACAGATTTTTTGAGGACTTGCTTTGCGATAGGTACCTGGAACCATGCAACAAGCTGGTGATACGAACTGAGGTAAGACAGGTTCCCTGTTCTGGAGGAGTTATACGTAAACTAAGGCAGTTTATTCATTGTGGAATGAAGAAAGGTAT